TCCATCTTCAACGCTTCCTTCGAAGCTCCCATCACCACCAACCCCGAATCCAATTCCATCCCACCAAACCGCTCCGTGCGATACCATCCTGTCCATTCCGGCCGCACTTTATTCGAACCCATCTCTGTCGTCCATCATCGTACCCCGCAGCTCTCTTCAGCTCCGTCTTCCTGGCCACCTCTCGCAATGCCTGGCCTGGTCTCAGCAACCGGAGTCCTGGGCTTCCTAGCCGACGAGGAGCATGATCTCAAGGTCTTCGCCCTCCAGACTCTCAATGATGACATCGACACTGTCTGGACCGAGGTCGCTGGTGCCCTGAGTCAAATGTGAGCTCTATTCCTTTCCTCGCCACACTCCGTCTACTCGCCTTGTTTAGATCCAGCTAATCACCTCGATGTAGTGAGGCTCTCTACGAAGACGACTCCTTCCCTCAACGACAGCTCGCCGCCCTCGTTCTCGCCAAGGTCTACTACCACCTCCAGGCCTACAATGAGAGTATGACATTTGCCCTCGCCGCTGGCGACCTCTTTAAGCTCGACGCTCCCGGCGAATTCGAGGATACCATCATTTCAAAGTGCATCGACCAGTACATTGCTGCCTCTTCCGCAAAGCACACTGCTCCCGAGTCACCCCAAAACGATACCTCACTCCCCGCTCTGGCTACTACGTTTGCTAGCGGTGCTGCTGATGGGTCTGCCTTGATCTCCCCTACGACCCCCTTCTCCCAGACGACCCTCCCCTCCAAGTCTCTCCTCTCCCGAGTTTCGACCGACAACACCATTCTCGATCCCACATTCCAACCCGTCAAGGAAGGCCGCTCCGCATCCATCGCCCCAATCAATGATCAGGCGACTCAGATTGCTCTGCAACGTATTATCGAGCGTCTGTTCGAGGCTTGCCTCAAGGATGGCAGATATCGCCAGGTCATTGGTATTGCCGTCGAAGCCAAGAACTTGGAGGTTCTGCGCCGAGTCATCAAGCGCGCCGCCGATGACGAGAAGCATTCAAAGTCCAAGTCGTCGGATGGCCAGGGCCCCGCCGAGGAGCTCATGGAGTATGCATTGGGCATCTGCATGGACGTTGTTCAGGAGCGAAGCTTCCGCACTGAGATTCTGCGTTTGATCCTCGACCTTCTCAACGACATTCCGAACCCAGACTACTTCGCCATCGCCAAGTGTGTTGTTTACCTGAGCTCCAACGAGGAGGCTTCGCGCATGCTGAAGCAGCTCATCACGAGCGGCGACCGGAATTCAATCGCCAGTGCCTACCAGATCGCTTTTGATTTGTACGACAATGGCACTCAGGAGTTTTTGGGCAAGATCATCAGCTCGCTGCCGTCAGGAGAGCCTAGCAAGGCTGCCGAGAGCGACGCCACTGAGGAAGAGCCATTGATCGAGAACCAAGAGTCCTCAGAGGAGGAGCTGTCGGAGGAGCTTTCCAAGGTTTACCAGAACATTCGGTCAATTTTGGACGGCAGCAAGACCATTCAGCTGAACCTCGAATTTCTCTACCGCAACAACCGCACCGACTTGAGCATTCTTAACAAGGTCCGTGATAGCTTGGAGGGTCGCAACTCCATCTTCCACACAGCCGTCACCTTCTGCAACGCTTTCATGAACCAGGGCACCACCAACGACAAGTTCTTCCGCGACAACCTCGAATGGCTTGGCAAGGCTGTCAACTGGTCTAAGTTCACCGCGACTGCAGCTTTGGGTGTCATCCACCGCGGCAACCTTACGCAATCCCGCAAGCTTCTCGAGCCCTACCTCCCTCGCCAGAGCGGCTTGAGCAGCGGCTCCATTTTTAGCCAAGGTGGCGCTCTCTACGCCTACGGTCTGATTCACGCCAACCACGGCGCCGACGCTCTTGACTACCTCAAGACCCAGTTCACATCCGCCGAGGAGGAAGTTATCCAGCATGGTGGTGCCTTGGGTCTGGGTATTGCAGGCATGGCAACTGGCTCTGAGGAGATTTTCGACAACCTGCGCACGGTTCTTTTCACCGACTCTGCTCTCAACGGCGAGGCCGTTGGCCTTGCCATGGGTCTCATTATGCTCGGCACTGGCAACGTGCGAGCCTTGGAAGACATGATCACCTACGCCCACGAGACGACACACGAGAAGATTGTTCGTGGTCTCGCTATTGGCATGGCGTTGATCATGTTTGGCCGCCAAGAAGGTGCCGACGCCATGATCGAGGGCCTACTCAACGACCCTGATCCTACCTTAAGATATGGCGGTATTATGACTGTTGCTCTCGCTTACTGCGGTACTGGCAGCAACAAGGCTATTCGCAAGCTGCTTCATACTGCCGTTAGCGACGTCAACGATGATGTACGCCGTGTCGCCGTCATGAGCTTGGGCTTCATTCTCTTCCGTAAGCCTGGCAGCGTCCCTCGCATGGTCGAGTTGCTCTCTGAGTCGTACAACCCTCACGTGCGTTACGGATCTGCCATGGCGCTGGGCATTTCTTGTGCTGGCACCGGCCTGGATGAGGCCATCGACTTGCTCGAGCCTATGATGAAGGATCCCACCGACTTTGTCCGTCAGGGTGCGCTCATCTCTCTGGCCATGATCATGATTCAGCAGAACGAAGTCATGAATCCCAAGGTCGCTTCCATTCGCAAGACTCTGAAGAAGGTTGTCGGCGATCGCCATGAGGACGCCATGACCAAGTTCGGCGCGTCGCTTGCTCTGGGTATTATCGATGCGGGTGGTCGCAACTGCACGATTGGCCTCCAGACCCAGACTGGGAACCTCAACATGGCCGGCATCGTTGGTATGGCCGTCTTCACCCAGTACTGGTACTGGTTCCCGTTCACCCACTTCCTTTCGCTCGCTTTCTCACCCACCTCCATCATCGGTCTCGACCACGAACTCGAGATTCCCAACTTCAAGTTCCATTGCGCCACCCGTCCCAGCCTCTTCGATTACCCGCCGGAGCAAGAGGTCAAGGCTGAGGAGGGCCCTACCATGGTCGCCACAGCCGTTCTGTCAACAACTGCTCAGGCCAAGCGCAGAGCTCAGAAGAAGGAGCGTGCCCAGCGTCGTGAGAGCATGGACACTGACTCTGCCAAGCCAACGGTGTCCGACAAGATGGACGTGGACGAAAAGAAGGAAGAGACCAAGGAAAAGAAGGATGGCGATGGTGGAGAGAAAGAGGCATCTGTTGCTCCCGCCGACACCAAGAAGAAGGCAGAGAAGGAGAAGGTCGGGTACGATATGGAGAACCTGTCGCGCGTGCTTCCGGGCCAGCTCAAGTTCATCAGCTTCCCCGCCGGACGATACAAGCCGGTCAAGAAGGTAGAGTAGTTCTAACCCCTCGACTGCAGAGTGTTTTACTAACTCTCATTAGCCTACCGGAGGACCTCTGCTTCTACAGGACACGCAGCCTGACGAGGAGAAGACGCTCATCGAAGAGAAGTTGAAGAAGGTGACAACAGAAAAGGCCCCAGTGGCCGGCCAAAGCAACGCAGGCGGATCATCTGCGGGCTTGACGCCGCGCCAACAGCAGAACATAATCTCGCAGGCCCTCAGAGCAGGTGCTGGTGGTGATCTTCGCTCGCTGAATGAGCTTAGCGAGCTCCTGGGTCGGCAAAGAAGAGGTGACCTCGTAGGCGCGACTGATGAAGGAGGGGCGGCTGCAGCAGCAGGAGTGCTCACGGCAGTGGACGAGGACGGCGAGGGAGATGAAGAGGCGGACGTCCCACGAGAGTTTGAATACTTCACGGACAATGAGGAGGAAGATGACGAGGAGTAGCCATTCTCGCAAGCGAACCACCAGTATTTGTGACTCTGGGTTTGAGACCATAACGGTGTTTAGAGAATAGAATGGGGGCGGCGTAGAGCTAGTCGACTGCCATTCTGCCAAGGACAGTCGGGGGCAAGGAGACTTTGCCAGGCTGTACAATAGTGTAACAATCGAGTCATTCGTAAAGGTTGCTTCTTAAATGCGCGTAGACCCGTGAACGCTCTATGCGACAGAGTAAAGGATCGCAGGCAATATTGGAACGCCTTGACGTATAGAATATGAGGATCAAAGTATGATTGTAGCCAGTCTCCTATGGTGACAGTAAGCTGTCGAGGTGTAGCTATGTCTTCGCACATGGCGCTTCGGGTTTCCTAAAGCAACACCTGCAAGCTATTTTGTCTGTACACCTGGCAGTAGATGCAGCCAGCAGCAACGCAGACGACTCGCGGAAACCTTGTGGGGAACCCCACGTTTCCCCTCTTACATCGTCAAGCTGGGAGTAATTAAGGTAGTTGGTTACCCTAGGTACTTGACAGTGACACACTCCTTTGCTTGGTACGTTTCCCTTCCGGTTTACGCAGGAAGAAAGCCCGCTTCTTCTGCGCTTAAGGTCCAGCCAAGCCGATAGCTGTCTGCAAACTTCTGGTGGCCACGCAGGGAGATGTGTTTCAGGCTCGCTTGCGCTTCCCCGTATCATGAGGTCAGGAGATCAGGAGATCAGGAGATCAGGAGCGGTATACTGAACGCTTCCTCACGATCTCTTCTACTGGCATGTACACTGCCCGCGGCCCCTTGTTCGGGGTTCGAGCTTCGTGGACCATACTGAAGCTCCTCACTCCCGCAACACCGTGGGGAGAGCAATGCGGGGTGTCCGGTCTTCCTCCGAACTCCTCTTACCTTAGCTAAGAGAGACCAATACCTAGACCCTCCCACCTCAAGGCACTCTTCCGCCTGTTCTAGCCTCCAACGCAAGTGGTTCCCGTCCGTAGCTGAAGCCGGCGGGAGAAGAGAGATCTCGCCGTGACTGAATAAGTCTTAACACACCTTCTGCTTCCCCCACGATTCCTTCTCAACGCTTCGTCTCTTTGGGAACACATCCTTTCGGGCCAGCTGACTGCCTCGCGTTAAAGCAAGTCGACATCCTACATTATCTTCCAGCTTTGATAGCTTCCTCCGATTTGCTGCCTTTGCATTACCGCCGCACATTGCCTTGCATTGATATTGCCCACACGCAGCTATTACGACCCGTCATGGCACAATCTAACTCCCTGTTAGACACGCTGAGGTCCGTGAGCCGAGTCGACTGTGATACTCTGGACGTTGAAGGCGAGAACCTTCCATCATGACAACCCCAATGTGCTCGGTTCTGACCTTGCTTTAGTTGCCAAAGAGCTGGGTCCCTTTGTCGATCACACCTCCAACCAGGCAATCGCCTATGGCGAGCTCACCAAGACCACCGCAGATGGCAAGCTATACCACGAGCAACTCATCCGGGACTCCGTACAGGATGCTCAGGGCTGGGCTCACGCGGCCTGGCCAGACATTGACCCGATTCTTCTCGCAGTCGAGATCATGGTACCTTTTCGACGAAGCTCTTGATAACGGCATCCACCATCGCTGACATATTTGTAGATGGTCAGACTATCACTCAAGTTCATCCCGTATTTGACAGGATATTTCCACATTCAGACCAACACAGACTGGTCCTATTCGGTCGAGAAAACTGTCAAGAATGCCGAAAGTATGTTGCCATATAGGCCTGCAACGATCAGAGCTAACCGCGCTGCCCTGCTTCCTAGGAATTGTTGAGACCTTCAAGAAGGTGGAGCCCACATTCGACGTGAACCGTGTCTGTATCAAGATTCCGTCCACCTACGAGGGCATTGCTGCTTGCAGGATCCTCGAGAATAAGGGAATTGCAACATTGGCGACGACCATGTTTTGCATGGAGCAAGCGGCCCTGGCTGCCCATGCCGGCTGCACCTACATTGCGCCGTATGTGAACGAACTAAAGGTTCACTTCGTCCCAGGGTAAGAACCATCTCAAATACGGCCTTAGACACGGCGACCTGAGCAGGATCGAATGACTGACCCTTGGGCGCCCTTAGTTATGTGGACGAGAACAAGGCTTTCAACTTCTGCAGACAGGCGCAGGCTTACTATGTCGAGACAAAGGCCAAGACCCAGGTCCTGGCAGCTAGTCTGACCACCGTTCCTGAGGTGATGCAGTTGGCCGGCATTCAGCACGTCACCGTCTCGCCGCCGCTCCTCCGGGCTCTTGCGGCAGCGCCGTCCTCAACTTGGACGGAGAAGGTCGGTGGCTATTTCGCAGACGGGCCAGACGAGCGCTGGATCAAGGACTTCCAGGCTGCCTTGATAGACGAGAGCGAGTGGCGATTTGCTTTTACTCGTAGCGGCAACGGCAGGTATGAGGAGAAGCTTATCCAGGCCATCAATATCTTCTCCGAGAAGCAACAGAGCCTAGAGGAGCTGGCGCGAAGCTATCTATAGATGAAGGCCTGCTACAATATAGAGTCACTGCTTGCAGATTCAAAGCGTAGACACAACGATCGTTAATCAAAGGACCTGGGTAATTTGATGCTACGTAGACATACCGTCTATCATTAGTATGAACCCAACATACCTCCGTTCCCTTTTTTTCCTCAGTCTTCCTCCCAGGCCAGGATACCAAACACCACCCTGTCTACGCCATCACCAATGCCCTTCTCTTCCTGGCGATTGCTGCATGAACGCAGCAAAGTCAGTACCGGCGAAAGGGGACGCTGGTGTTTCCCTCATGTCGGAATTAGTTTGTCTGGAGTCGTCAAACACCGGACGCCGGGCACGAAGCGCCTCCCTACCAACCCAGCTAAGATAGACAGTCTCGTGGACCTGTATGAGATCGGGCCCAATTTCCGTCGAGCCCCGGCCGCTTCTATCTGCCTGCTCGAATTCCGGCTTCTTCTCCACCACAAATACTCTATGGTCCTTCCTCTCGATATAACGAGCGACAAGAACAAAGCCGATGAACCAAGCAACCCCTAGACCGATGATGATCCATGAGACCGTGGGAATCACCCACCAGGGATTCAGCTGCGTAGATAGGTACTTCGAAGGAGGAACCCAGTTGGTGATCACCGGGTAAAGTCCACCGCACATGTATACGAATGCGCAAAAGACGGACAGAAAGGGACGGAAACGCTTTCCAGTCATCTCGGCCCAAGTACGCGGCAACGGCGGTGGGTCTTTCCCAAATGTCGAAGCGTCGTCGTCGCTAAGGGTAGTCGGAGGTCCGCGGAACCGCAAGATGAGAATGCCCAGCCCCAAGAATGTCCCGATGAAGGCATTAATGACATAGGCGCTCAGGGATGTAAGCAGGGTGTAGGCATCTTTCGGTCTCATATTGTAGGTCGCGAATATCAGGATAGTACAGCTGACGAAATGGAGAAGCAAGGCTCCGACGGGGGTTTTCTCGCTGTGATGCTCTGGCGAAAGCCACTCCAGTCGAAGAACCGATGAGAACCATCCCTTCCTCTGGAACCAGCGCAGTACACGACCGATACTCATATCCGTGTTTTGTGCGAAGAACTTGGGCCACGGAAGCATTCCCTGGTCGTTGTGAGTTTTGGTCTCGTACATCTAACATCGAGGCTTTTACTCACTTCTTTCGCAATCTCCTGTTTAACTCTGGCGGCTGTGTATGTCTGTGAAAACGTCATATTAGCGGACGTACACGGCGTGGATGCTCAGGGAGACAATTAACTGACCATGACGATGATGTTACCCAAGGATGAGATGGCAAGAAAGGCGTTGAAGATCCGGGCCCCGGTATCGCTAGCTGAGCCAAGTGTCCCAAATGTTAGTTCGAAGAACTTTTGTGCAACATTTTCGTTGATTTGGTCCTCTTTTGGGACAACGACCATCTATCTCGAAGTCAGCAAAACCTTCTTCCCCGCTTCCGATCCCGACTGTAGGATGGAGCCAAGAGCCGAGCAAAGGAACCCACATAGCAAATATTCACTGCAAGGTAAAGCGTCACAACGGTGCCAACACCGGCACCCATGGCGATAGGAAACTTCTTCTTCGGCCTACTAATCTCCCCAAGGACATAGTTGGGCTGCTCGAAGCCGGAGAAGCTGAATATGATGGCGAGAAACGCTTGAGCGTAGCTGTTGGCGTCGTTTGACGCGTTTTTGAAAGAATTCTTGGGTGAAGTGTTTTCACCAAAGACGTTCTTGGCACCTGGGAATCCTCCTGCACCAACGACAATCGTCGCTACAATGATGAGAAGCATGATCATGATTTTGACGACTGCGAGGATATTGTTGAGCAAGATTCCCCCGCGTCTAGAGAAAGCATGAATTCCACAAGAGAATGTAGCTACGGCAAGGGCGATACCGCGAACAAGGCCGTTTCCTGGTTCCGATATGCCGGCGGCTTCGAGAAGTCGCATGGCAAAGTGAATGCTGTTGCCCGCCATGTTACCCAAAATGATAAAGCTGATGCCAAATATGCAAGTCGACAAGAGCAAAGTGTTCTTCCGGTAGGCTGGCTTGCGGAAAACGTATTGTAAGTAGACGAGGTCACCACCGCTTCGCGGGACGCTGTGATCGTGCCCATTGATCAGATATCTGGGCACGTTCAAGCCATACTCAATGTACACATGAGTTCCGCAAAGACAATAGATTATCCCGGCCAACCAGAAGAGTAGCGTTGCACCAACACTTCGTGTGCCTCGCATTACTCTTTGTGGGGACATGAAGATACCAGTTCCTAGATTAACCATCTAACTTAGCGCTCCATTGCTCTGGAAGGGAAGGTGAAGACGAGTTGTTGTTTACGATGATTACCTCCTCATGGTGTTTCTGGTAATGAAGACAAGAACTCGTGAAAACAATGAGGGAAAGGGGGGAGCACAGGGAGCAGAATTTCCCACATGTACAGAAACGTCAACGCATGCGCCGCTCGAGAGGGCCAAGGGCCGGAGTGAATCAATCATATTGGTTTTGAGATGCCCTTACATCTATAGGTAAAGAATCAAACTACTCACCAATCATTCGGTTGATGACTAGACAGGCTACGTCGAAGTATCCTAGTCGGAAGCCCTCCTTTGGAGCATGCGTGACGATGCCATTGCCGTCACTGATGGGGTCAATCACCTCGTCAATATCACTGTGGACTGAAGCCTCCTCAGCACCCCGTGGCTCTTGGTAGAAACCAATGGAGCTGGGAAAGTCGTTCATTTTCGAAACCGTGTTGATTTGAAAAGAATGCAAGTTTGGAGTCCAAGCCTTGCGGTCGCTCCGTAGCAGGAGATCAACGCAATGTTCGTATCGCTCGCTTTCACAAGATACATGACAGGTAGGCCCGCCATGGGTGTCTTCACATTATGTATGGCACACTTCTCTCGGCTCGACTTAGGTGCGTGTGTGTGACGAGCTGCTGGCATGCATGTCGGGCGTAATCTAGAAACAGCACGTATCTGGGGCGCGCACCACAGAAAGACAAACAGGCAGACTTGGCCATGGGTTGATAGCGGCTCGCATGCATGCCGGGGCAGCCACATCCTAGGACGGGGGCTGGTCGAGTCACTCGTGCCACGACAGCCTCGTCCAGAAATATGCCTCGCAAGGCATACCTGAGGTCTTTCTTTGCGCGCATCTTGGCAACTTAGACACAAGAGGTCTCAACGACGTCTTACCTTATTACCAAGACTCTGGCGACTACACAGCTGCCAAGTTGTGCCCGATCTAGTGGGTGATTTAGTCTCAGTACTCGAGCGATGATAGGTCTAGCGAAGCGAGCACGAATGGGAAGAGTCCCGGGAAAACTCAAGGTGACACCCCCTTCTGAGTCTTACACCGAGGTTGGCACGTCGGGAAGTTATTCTACCTACCTCGAAGCCGTCAATCTGTATAGCTCACTGCCACCGCCACATGCATTGCACGCATGGGCTGAGTGCTGATCATCGTTCTTAGTCAAGGGCATATAAGCGTATTCACTTAAAGCCTCGCCCGATATTCTCTTAAGCATACCCAAACATTAGGTAGCCCTAACTGATACTCGCTCAACAAGTTCAGATTGCTTCCATTTAGATCTGGGCATGACGGCAAGTATAGTGCAATAAGACATTTCAATATCCAGGCTTGGCAGTGAAGCCTCCAGCAACTCACGATCAAGAGTGTCCGGAACTGACTAAATGGTTCATCACCAAGGGGGGAGCAGACGACTGTGAATACCCCCAAGTTTGCGGGGTTGATGACTTTATCAAGGATAGGCTTCTGTCCGATTAGTTCATCTTAAATACTTCGAGATGTGAGTGGCACGACCGCACAGTTCAATAGCTTATCTCGCAATCTTCCACTTCCGCCGCAGACATGCATACCACCCAGCAGCTGGAGGGTCCAGCCCCGATTGACGGGATTGGATATCATCGTAGGGGTGTCTCGGGTAACTGAGACCGCGTGACAGCCTTTTCTTTCCCTCCCTTTCTGAATAAGACCCCGGTTTCCATGTGCGGAGGAAATCTTTCACTCACTACGGAGTAAACTCGACTCGAGCTGCTATCGCTTGACTAGGTAGAGATGGCTGCTAGGAGACGACAGCCCAGGTTTGTGCTCAGCTGCTCGGTACTGCCACGGTCGACGCGCGCAGTCACACTTCGAGGACGAGAGACAGCCGACTTGTAGGCCAAGCAAGACTATTTGAGAGAGCCACACGAGTAGGTCAGAGGAGGTCATTCTCCCCTGCTGCCTGCATGGATGCCCGCTCCATCCTTTCTTTCTCTCGGTGTCGATTTAGGTAGAGCTGTCTGGGCTGCCGAACACAGACTCGGGTTGGTCCGAGGCAGCAAACACAGATATGCCCATGTCGTCGCTACTAGCCTCACTATCTTCTTCCACGCCCGCCTCCCGTGCCTCTTTCGCTGTCCGGCTGGAGGGTTGTCGCTGCTTCCACTTGTGCTTATTCCATATGCTCGTTCCTTGTCCTACTGCCCACCCCTGCGTTCCTTGGGGCGGCTCGCTCTCATCTCTGTGACATGCCTGCAGCTCGGTGGCGTCTAAGGTTACTCTGTCGTGTGCTCCCACCCTGCGGTTGGGCTTTACTTCAAATCTGCCTTCGTTCCCCTCATCTGCTTCGCATCTCAGCCCTCTTGGTGAAGCCCGGTTTGGGGAATTTCCATTAGTCGTCTTCCTCGCACGTATTGACACCATCGCCCTTTCAATGCCAATCATCTTATAAGGCGCATTTCACAGAAGAACTACCTGCCCCTTGCCTCGTTACCCAATGGCAGGGCCAATCCAGTTGGGAGATGTCATCAACTTCAGCAAGCTCGCGTGGGACGTGTACAAGTTCGGTTGGGATAATGACTTCAACGCCAGTGAGTTCCTCGGCGCAATGAATATCACTCTCTAGGGCTGCCACTCTCATCGCCATGCCATCAACAACATGTAGAGCTCTATTTGAGAACATCTTATGTATCTGGTATTTCTCTGGAGATTGTTGGCGCC